TCAGTCTTTTTTTTTTTTCTCTCTTCAACTGATTAGAGGAGGCCTACTCACATTATGAACAGCACCCAGTAATGCTCCCTGGTCTGCTAACCTGGAGGCCCCACTTAGAGACATGAGATCAGTATAGGATGTTTTGCTCTGATTGAACTCATACTGGTTTATGTTACTGGCACATGATCCAATGCAGTAATGCTCCTAAGTCCTTTTGTAACCAAAGTTCTCGAACATGGTCAGGAATCAACCTGGAACATAACCTTAGCAGTTTCCACAGGACTCTGTTCCACCTTTTGAATATCAAGAAAGCATTTCCCCATCTTTAGTTGTCTGGCCACTCTCCCATCTTCCAGGTTTTCTCTGCTACACTATCCTTAAATTTCTGGAGATGTCATTCCTCTGGGTCTGCAGACTTGAACTCCATATTTTGAAATTCTGAATGTTGTCAGAACATCAGAGCCTGATTTTCTGACAACATTCAGAATTTCAAAATATGGAGTTTGATGACTTGATGACTGGGTCCCATGCTCAGGGATTCTGGTTTAATTGCTCTGGGATATGGTGTGTTTGTTTGTTTTTAACTCCTTAAGTGATTCCTCGGATACACAAGCAGGGCTGAATCATTGAGCTGGTTGATCTCATGCTGTCATGTTCACTCTCCTGGGCAGCAACGAATTCTCTTCACTTTTTCCAGATTGAAGGCTGTTCTCTTTGTGGGAGAATATCAAAGTAAAGCAGGATTCTGTTAGCAGAACCTTAGCCTCACTGTAATCTTTTACTAACATGGTCCCTTCTTCAAGCAGCTTCTTTCCTTCTACGGACTCTCCCAGCTAGAACTCAACTTTATAAAATTTTGCTTTACTTTATCATGTCTTTGAGTCCTACTGATGACATCATTTCTGAGAAGATAGAGACATCAATTTTGACAAGGAAGTAAGAACTAGCTAGCAAAAACAATCCTGATATCTTGGCATTTGTAATAACCAAAGGGAAAAAATGCTTGTTTGTGGTCCAAATGCCTGGATATTATCCTTGAATCCTCCTGTCTCTCACCCTCACCCATGGGAACAATTGGGCATGTCCAGTCCCAGCTCCACTGCTTGGAGGTGTGTCAGCTCCTGTGCACCAAGGAGGCCTCATAGGTTCATTAAACTCTCTAGAATACACCCTTGGGTTTGTGCTTCTCCTTCTGCATTCTGTTAAGTCTTCATAAAAAAAGCTGTGAGCACTGCTAAGGGCCTACGAGTTGTATAAGGAAGAGGCTTTCCTTTATTGAGCTCAGAGTGGAATGAGGTGGTCAGAAAGCTCATTGCCACACAGGATGGTACACATCCTAACAAAAGCCTGTAGAGAATTCAGTGGGAAAGAGAAAGGCCCAGAAATGCCTCCAGAGGCAGTAGTACTCTACCTGGGAACACATGGAGTTGTTTGGGCAGGGAGGGGTGAAGAATGGTGGGAAAGACACTGCAGACACCTGGGACATCAGGAGCAGAGTGTAGAAACGTAATTGCAAACTGTAAGTAATTGGACCAGAGTGGGAGTCAAGGCAGAGGGTAGAGACTTATTATGGGCTGTGCATGCCCAATGACTATGGATTTGACTTTGAGGGTGATGGTTTTTAAGAGGGGGAGTGGTGATTACAATTCTCATTACGTGGTGTTGATATGATGGTTGGATTAGAGAAAGGCAAGGCAAAAGCAAGAAAGCCTGCTGCCTCCCTTGTGAGAAAGAATGATGCATAGGGCAGTGGGAGCAGGGCAGGGAGAGAAATCTGGAAGAGGTTCAGGATTGGTGGGATGGGTGGTGTGGGTAAGGCCCCAGCTGGTCTATTCAAAGACTTTTTGCACATCAGAAAAGGGTATCTCTACAGCCAGACCTACCTCCAAACAGTGCAGCTAGAGCTGGACATGCCCAGTTGTTCCCACAGTGAGGAAGTAGGGAGAAAGAGAAGTCAGGGCCATATCCCAGTATTTGGACCACAAACAAGCATCTCTTTCCTTGGTTTTGATGAATGCCAAGAAAGCAGGACTGTTTTTTGCTAGTTCATTTTTGCTTCCTTGTCAAAACTAATTTCCCTATCTTCTCAGAGATGATGTCATCAATTTATCAGGTGCACTCTTGTGCGCTGGCTGAGCCTTCCATAGTCCTCCATCATCAAAGGTCTCCCATCCCCACCCCCACCTGCCGCCACCACCACTACCACCACTACCACCACCACCACCACCCATTCAACCTGGGAGAAGTTTTAGAGACCTATTGTGGGAAAAAATACACACTAGCTGAATAGAAACTACAGCACACAGACACCAAGTTTCATAGGTGGGAATTTTATTCTATCCAAAATGAAAATAAGCATTCAAAAAAAGTAACTTGGAACATGTATATTCTTTTTGCATAGCCCTCCCTGAGGGCTCATTCAATGAAAACTTATTGGGCACCAGTTTTTTGTAAGGTCCATGCTAACTTCTGCATGAGAGAAAGACCTTCACCTCTGACCCAAATTCCTGGCAGTGGGGAGGCAGATCTTTCAAAAAGACACTGTGACCAATTTTGCTTTCAACCTTTGGAGTCAGACCCCCTGTGTCTGACTCCTAGTGCCATCATTTTAAGTTACGTAAGCCCTCTGTGTCTTAGTTTTATCATATTTAAATTGGGGGGTAATGATAAGGCCTGCCTCACAGAGTGTGGAGAGGAATATGTAAGCTGAAAACATGTCATATGAATCACAACAGTACCTAGCAGGTCTTAAGTGCTCAGCAGTGTTCATTGTTCCCACTATTTTGTGTTCCTACTATTTTCAACATTAATAATCATATCCACAACCAGTAAAAAGATGTCAATGACATGAGAAAGTATTTCATGGTGTTATAATTTGAGTTTAAAAGCAAGTTACAGTGCAATCTGTCTCTGAGGACTGTAAAGATATTTATAGAATGACAGGTTATTTCTGAATTGCTTTCGTCTTCTTTATGCCTAACCTACTTTCCAGTTTTTCTTACACAGTTATTCAAAAATATTAATCAACAATAAAAAGATTTTAAGGGTCCTGTTTATCAGTCTTCCCTACGCTAGACCCTGAGCTTCATGGAGCAACATTGGTGGCATCTCAGAGTGTGACAAACCTCCTTTTGGGCAGTGTCCAGTTCTACAGGCTGGCCTAAAGTCGGAGTCAGTACTGGACCAAACTTGTTTTCTGTTGTGACCCCTGTGTTCAGTCCTGCCTATCTCTTTTTCCGGGTGCCCATGTAAAGGGGATGGTGCCTTCCTTTATTCAACTAACCTGTGCTGTAAGTCCACTGGGGACCATCTCTGCCCAAGGTGCTTGATGTGCTGAGGATTCTGCCCTTCCTGGCCTATTGCCCTCCAGTCTTAGCTTTTCGCCCTTCTGCAGAGCTCACACCTGCCTCTGCTCCACTTTACTACAGATAACATAATCCCTGCATGTCCATCCTAATGTGCCCTACTGCATCAGTGAAGTCCTAGCAGAAAACAGCATTGCACTCAAAAGGGCTTAAACAATAATAAAGGAATTAAAGACATACTCACAAAGACATGGGTGGGGTTCAGGGAACTAACCAGGCATCCTCCTGTTCCCAAGGACTAGGAAGAGCAGGAAGCTTTAACTACCCCCAGGCAGAACAACGCAGGCATTGCTAGTTCCTGGAATCAAAGAAAGGAGATAACATATACTCTGATCTCTCTCTCCTTCTTCTTCATCACTTCCCATAGTCATTTGACTGAAACCATAGCTAGAGGGTAAGGACCAAGGGAAAACAGCTTACCAGACAATGTATTACTCTCCAAAGTTTTATTTATGGTGGATCCAATTTAAAATGTGCAATCTAAGCATACTACAGGGATACTGCTACAACGATGTTCATAGCAGCACAATTCACAAAAGCTAGTCTGTGGAACCAACCCAGATACCCTTCAATAGATGAATGGATAAAAAAAAATGTGGCATTTATACACAATGGAGTATTACTCTGCACTAAAATGACAAAATCATGGAATTTGCAGGGAAATGGATGGCACTAGAGCAGATTATGCTAAGTGAAGCTAGACAATCCCTAAAAAACAAATGCCAAATGTCATCTTTGATGTAAGGAGAGCAACTAAGAACAGAATAGGGAGGAAGAGAGTGAGAAGAAGATCACCATTAATCAGGGACGAGAGCGGGGAGGGAAAGAGAGAGAGAAGGGAAATTACATGGTAAAGGAAGGTGACCCTCATTGTTATACAAAATTACATATAAGAGGAAATGAGGGGAAAGGGGGAAAAAAAACAAGAGAGAGAAATGAATTACAGTAGATGGGGTAGAGAGAGAAGATGGGAGGGGAGGGGAGGGGAGGGGGGATAGTAGAGGATAGGAAGGGCAGCAGAATACAACAGACACTAGTATGGCAGTATGTAAAAAAGTGGACGTGGAACCGATGTGAATCTGCAATATGTATACGGAGTAAAAATGGGAGTTCATAATCTGCTTGAATCAAATGTATGAAATATGATATGTCAAGAGCTTTGTAATGTCTTGAACAACTAATAATAAAAAAAATTTTAAAAATGTGCAATCTAAATAAGGAAAGAGGATCACAAGTTCAAAACCAGACTCAGCTACTTAGTAAGACCCTGTATCAAAATAAAAAAGGGCTGGGGATGTGGCTCAGTGATTGGGTTCAATTCCTGGTATCAGAAAAAAAAGAAGAAGAAGAAGAACCCTTTGAAAGAATGGCATCAATTTCAGCCTTGGGTAGACCAGAGGGGGAGAGATTTTAAGTCAGTTTTTTTTTTAATCACTTCTTTAAAATAATTAATCTTTCAGTCCCTGTAGGTACTTGGAAGACGCTTATTGAAAGCCTAAGTTAGTGCTTTGAATCTCAGTTTTTCCCCCTTATTTGATTCTGGTTAGATTTGAAGCAATCTGAAGTGTGCGCGGAGAGGGGGGGGCTAGGTTGATTTGAGTACCCAGACTGTCTCTAGAATGTCTTTATTTTTTATTTTCATAGTCGGCCTCAAAGACAGAGACGGGAAGCACATGAAGATGTCCACAAGCAAGGCGGGTATGGTCATAAAAGCACACCCACCCTTCTAAAGAGGTTTCTTCCCACACCTCAACTGCCCCACCCCACCCGCCACCCAAGGACCTGGAAGCAGAGGGTGGGACCAGAAGAAGGGGAGCCCAAAAGGAAATGGCAATGGCTCCTGGATGTAGGGGGCCAGGAGGTGGGGGGTGAGGTGGACTCACCACAGAGGGGGCAGGCTCTCCTCCCTTTGTGCTCCCAGCTTCCTCCTTCGCAGTCCCGATTCCCTGTTCAGATTCTTTCCTGGGCCAATTCTGCTACAAACTCAGTCCATTCCTCATTTTAAGGGACACTCCCTCCTCAGCTGACAATGGGAACAAAGGCTCCTTGCCTCTGTGTGTCGCTTTATAGTTTAATAAAGCTTTCACACACTTTATCCCATTCAGCCCTCTCACCTGTCCCTTTTAGCAATCAGGAACCAAACTTTATCAATCAGGCAAACAGACTCCCCAGAGGCACCCAGTAGGCGGTTAGGACAGAGTCCTGTTTTTTCTAACTCCCAGCCTTAATTTTGTTTTTTTCTCCTCAATGTTAGCAGGTTTCTTAAGGGAAGCCGGATATCGGGGCTGAAAGGTGGACCGAGCCAGTCACAGGGAGGAGCCCACACGGGTTGAGAATAACAGGCACCAGGGCAGAGCTCTCTAGCTGCTCTCTCCTGACCAGCAGCTCCAGCAGCATCCCTGACCTTGTTAGAGATACAATTCCTGGGCCTCAGCCCAGACCTACTGCATCAAAACTGCAGGGGGGTGGCGAAGATTCCAGAATCTAGGTTTTAGGAAGCCCTCCAGGAGATGCTGACTCATGCCCGAGTCTACACTGGGGAAAGGAAGTGTGTGTGTGATGGTCCCCTAGAGCGGACACAACCTGGTGTCAGCATAAGACAGAGCTGGGAAGACGGTTAATTGTGTGTGTGTGTGTGTGTGTATGTGTGTGTGTGTGTGTGTTTCCCCAGAGCATACATAAAATTTTTTATTGGCTGCAAAGCAGCAGCATGACAATTTCTTTTTTTTTAATTGGTTTTATTTTTTAAATACATGACAGCGGAATGCATCACAATTCTTATTACACATATAGAACAATTTTTCATATCTCTGTATATAAAGTATGTTCATACCAATTCATGACTTCATACATGTACTTTGGATAATGATGTCCATCACATTCCTCCACCCTTGCTAACCCCTGCCCACTCCCTTCCCCTCCCATCCCTCTTCCCTATCTAGAGTTCGTCAATTCCTCCTATGATCCTCCTCCCTACCTTACTATGAGTCAGACTCCTTATTTCAGAGAAAACATTTACCATTTGTTTTTTTGGCTAACTTCACTTAACATTATATTCTCCAGCTGCATCCATTTACCTGCAAATGCCATGGAAAGGAAGTGTGTGTGATGGTCCCCTAGAGAGGACACAGCATAAGACAGAGCTAGGAAGATGGTTAATTGTTTCTGAGGATTCTAAAGATGGTGTTGATGGGTAAATGAAGAATAGTGAAGGCCACTGCTGCATTGCTTGTAATGGCAAGAGACTGGGGTAACTCAGTGTCTGCCAGTAGAGGACTGGTCACATGAATTATGGTGCATCTGTTTTTGGAATATTATGCTCTGTAAAAAGAACAAGAAGCTTGGGGCACTTTGGCATGGAAAAAAATCCAAGACATATTAAATAAGGGAAAAGCAAGGTGTAGAAGAGATTATATAATGTAAATCGTATAAAGAAGGGGAAAGCTGATAGGCGCTGTGGTGCACACCTGTGATTCCAGTGGCTAAGGAAGCTGAGATAGGAGGATGGCAAGTTCAAGGCCAGTCTCAGCAATTTAGCAAGGACCTAAGCAACTTAGTGAAAACCTTGAATATATATCTGTATTTATTTACTTATATCTAGAAGAATACAAGAAACCAATAAGAGAAGTACCTGTGGATGTAGGAAGGGATGGGTAGAGGCAAAGGTAGGAACCAACTTTTCGTTGCATTTTTTTAAATTGCAAAACTCTGCAATTTTCTTACTTATTTTTTAAAAAGTGACAATAAATAAAAATTTAGATGTAATTCAGAAGCTGCCTGCCATGGATAAAGGGTGGTTAATTTTCAAGAGAGTCCACCCTTCCAGCACTGTCCAACAAAAGGTCAAGGACATGAAGCTCTAACACACCCACTGGCTTTAATCTCCCCCAAGAAGACTGGGGTATTTTGGGAGGAGTTTAGGCCTCTTAATAAGACCAGGACAGAAGCTCTCAGTCGTAGTTACACATAAAAATCATCTGGGAAGTATGTGTGTGTGTGTATATGTGTGTGTGTGTGTGTGTGTGTGTGAGAGAGAGAGAGAGAGAGAGGGAGAGAGAGAGAGAGAGAGAGAGAGAGCATGCACGTGGTGCCTGGGGTTGAACACAGCTCTACTACACAACAATATTTCCAGCCTTGAGAAGGTTTTATTCCCAGATCATCCAAATCAGCATTTTTGAGGCAGGGCCCAAGCTTTACCATGACTCCTTGGAGAACCACTGTCCTAGACCTTCAGGGTCAGTTTATTTATCCCAAAAAGCTGGAGAATGGAAGAGGGGATATCCAGGACTAGAAGAAGAAATAACACATCCCATCAAACCTGTCAATATGGTCAGAATATGAACAGTTTTTACCTGCCTTGGTTAGGATTTGTGATCCACCTATTTCTTCCCCTCAGCAGCCCAATTCTGAAACGCAGCCCTGACATCACCAAATCACCTCTGACAAAGTCGGAGCAGCTGCTGAGGATAGATGACCACGATTTCAGCATGAGACCTGGCTTTGGAGGTATGAAATGAGCCCTCTTGCGGGGTGTCTTATTTCCTAGGGTCCTTCTATCCAGGAAACCAAGCCTAGGGGCTTTGCTCAGGTCCTGACTGAGTTGGCCTCAGCTGTGTTGGCATAAAGCACCATGCTCACAGCATCTTCTGAGCATCCACCCTCCCCACGCGGGGCTCTCCTGAACACCTTCTCAGGAACGCCTGCTAGTGGGTAGCCAGGCTAGACCAGCCAGCTGTCCTTGGGCCACTGCTCCTGAAAAGGATGGCTCAGGATCAGTGGGGCCAACAGCTGGCTGTTTAAGGTGGGGGCAGCTGCAGCCCAAAGCTGCCTCCTGAAAATGCTCTGAGATTTATTCCAACAACCTTGACTAAATTTGTCCTCATCTGGGAGCTGGCAGATGAACTCTGAGTACATATCTGAGGGAAGAGTGTGGTCTACTTGGTTTAATTACATGAAAATAGCTTAAAAATTAATGATGTAGTACAGAAGAATGCCAAAGCCCTTTGAAGCTTAGCCTGCAGCTGCCGGTTTCAGCCCTTTTAGTGACAAATAGAGTTTTCCTCTTTGACAAATAGGCTTTTCTCCTGAAAAAAAAAAAAAAAGCTTTTTTTAAAAGAAATTATTTTTATTCCTTTTATTTCTTCTGCAGGTTCTAGAAAGATATTTCTATTCACTCCACAATCTACCTTTTCTATAATCTTTATAACCTTCCTGGACTCAAGTCTACCTTTTTACTCTGTGATGATTTTAGTGGGCTCTCTGCTTGACCCACATCCTGCAGAGAGGAAAGAGGTAGAAATCTATCCCCCTTTAAAAAAAAAAAAATTGTTGTTGTTGTTGACGAACTTTTTTTTTTAATACTTACTGTCATGGTATAATTTATTTATTTATTTATTTTTAAATAATTTTAAAACTTGTTTTAATTAGTTACACATGACAGTACAATGATCTTGACATATCATACATTTGAATCAGATGGGATATAATTTCTCATTTTTCTGAGTGTACAGGTTGCAGAATCACATTGGTCATGCAGTCACGTATATACACACAGCAATAATAATGTCTATTTTATTCTGCTGTCCTTCCTTTCCCCCTCCCTCTTCCCTCCCCTCCCATCACTTCTCTCTACCCAATCTAATGTGACACACTTCTTTGTTGACAGACTTTTTATTTATTTGTACGTGGTGCTAAGAATCAAACTCAGTGCTTCATGATGCTAGGAAGCGCTGAGCCACAACCCCAGCCTACCTATCCCCTATGTTATGCTTTCTTGATCAATATTAAGTTTTCATGGCTCAGAAATGATAACAAGTCTAATGTTTCAAAGGCCATCCTGGTATATCGTGTTCCCCTAAAAGCTACTCCATGTAGCCAAGATGCAGATCTGTGGATCTGACAAATAAATGATCTGAAAATTACTTCAGTTCTGGGAATTATTTCCAGGCTATGCCTTTCTCGTGGTCAGACAAGAACTACCGGCTTCTATGATGATGCAAAATTAAGAAGTGCATATAGAAAATAAAGTGGGTGGCCTCATGCTAAGGAGTAAATCACTCACTTCTCAGGTTTACCCAGCCTTTGACCTGGGTCTTCATCATAGCTTTGGATGAGCATGTACCAAAGAAAAATTCTATATGTTAACCTCATCATTTCAGAATCACCTGAATGATTCAGACCCAACCCCCCACCTTTTTTTTTCCTTCTGGAATATCATGGGGAACCAGCCCATGATTTCTTCCTTTTATCTCAGGTTTGACTTCAGGTTGGCATAACCAGACCTTCTAATCTGACTTGACTCTGAAGATCCAGAGAAAATATTTCTTTTGCTTAACTATTGCATAGTAAAAGTTTAAGTTAAAAGAATAAATGCTCTTGTTACGCCCTGTCCCCAGGCCCAGCCATTCCTGTTGGCGTGGATGTGCAGGTGGAGAGCTTGGACAGTATCTCAGAGGTCGACATGGTAAGTGCTTCTCTTACCAGGAATGTGAGCAAGGACATTCACAGGGACCTGAATTGAGAGCTTCCTTGGGAGGTGGGCATTCCTGGGAAGTGGGCATTCCCAAGCTGACTTTACTGACGGATCAGGAAGATTATGACATTTGCCCAAGGCTACCCCATTGGTATAACAAACTTGACCTTTCTCCCTTTATTACATAGTCTCTTGAGGCCAGAATGCACTCTCTGGGCAAAGGCTGTCAAATATAAACTGCAGGATCTAAGGCTGCAGCTGCCAAGTAGCCCAACACATCTTACTCCTGCAGATTCTACGCCTGGCTCCAGAAATGCAGAAGCAGCAAAAAAGTGCCCTTCCATTTCATTTAATTTGAATTAATTAACTTATTTATTGGTGGGTTCTGATAAAATATTAGAACATTCTACAGCACTTAACTTACAGAACTTTTTAGGATGTTATCTTAGTTTGGGTCCCTCAGGAAGCACACCTGAGCCAGGCATGATGGTGCACGCCTTTATTCCAGTAGCTCAGAAGTCTGAGGCAGGAGGATCGTGAGTTCAAAGCCAGCCTCAGTGACTTAGTGAGGCCCTAAGCAACTGAATGAGACCCTGTCTCCAAATAAAATACAAAAAAAAAAAGGATGAGGAGTTAAGTGCCCCTGGGTTCAATCCCTGGTATATAAAAAAAAATTGGAATCAAGCATTCTAGCATAAGTTTATTGGGGAGCTGATCCTGGGAAACACAGGAACACAGTGAAGAGGTGAGACAAGAAAGGAGAAGGGTGCAAAAAGGACTGTGCTCTCAAACCAGTCATTCCTGGAGGACTCAGTCCCACTGTGGTTCTTCAGGAATCAGAAAAGACCCAGGGTTGTCCCATCCGAAGGGTGAGAGAGCTGGACCATTTACCCACCACCCTCCTCTCTGGTTGAGGGAAGCCCAAAGGCATCAACTCTCAGGCCACGTTTCTGTTTAATTCACAAGTCGGTGAAGCAGCCTCCCCAGCACAGATGTAAATGCTGGAGACAGGGTGGGACTCAGGGACACTGTTTGCCACAGGTCTTTTGCTGGGCTCCCCCTCCCTGAAAGTGTCCTCCTGCTGTAGCAAAAGCAAGACCTCACCTGGCTCAGTTTCATTCCCCAGCAAGGTGACTGCTCCCCAGGGGTACAGAATCTCCTGCTGACATTCCAGCAGGTGGGTGTGTGTCTGGATTTTCTCTCTTTGCCCGCAGGACTTTACGATGACCCTCTACCTGAGGCACTACTGGAAGGATGAGAGGCTGTCTTTTCCGAGCACCAATAACCTCAGCATGACATTTGACGGCCGGCTGGTGAAGAAGATCTGGGTCCCGGATATGTTTTTTGTGCACTCCAAGCGCTCCTTCATCCACGATACCACCACAGACAACGTCATGCTACGGGTCCAGCCGGATGGCAAGGTGCTCTACAGCCTCAGGTAGGAAGACAGGTGGCTCACTGGACAAGCGTGGATTGTGCATCAGTAATTTTGCTTTTGGGCTCTGAATAACTTTTAACTTTTCCATAGCTGCCAAACTTATCAACATCAAGGAAACCTAACTTGACACATGAGTAGAAATTTTATGGAATTTTGAACATACATTTGGGGAAATTTCTCAAGCTGGTCAGTTGTGGCTTATGCTGCATCTTGAATGTTATATTTTAAGTTTCAAAAGTTTACTTGAGGTGACTGCTGGGAATATAGCTCAGTTGGTAGAGTGCTTGCCTCACATACATGGCCTTGTTCAATCCCCAGCACTGCAAAAAAAGAAAAAAAAAAAGTTTACTTTAATGAAATGCTTACTCCTCAAGTGGGAGTCAGAGAAATAGATAATGTGTTCTCCAAGTCTTGCCTCCTCTGATCTGTTTGATTCCCATTGGGGGGTAAATTTTAGAACCTCGTTTAAAAAAAATAAAATTCTTTTGTTCCACCTGCAGGCCACAAGCATATTTTCTGTTTTGAGAAACTATGGGTTTCTGGGCTACTTTGTGACATTCAATGACATTTTGAATATATCACTTTTACAACTTTTACAAATTAATGAATAAAATTTTTTCTTCTCATGAGCTCAAATGCCTTAGAAGTTTTTAATTGCTCATGGAGCACTGACCTGTGGAAGGTTTTTCTAAACACAGCACACAGCCTCCGCTTCTGTCCTGGTGCTCACCTCCCCAGGAGGTGGACATGGAGAGGGACATGGTTATTGGCTGTGGTTGAGTTCTCCGTAATTTACTCTGTATATGGTACAGTTCAAGTTTTCGAACTTTGCTTTGGTTCACATGTTGATTAACGGTAAAGATGAATCCACATTCTATTATCTAAGAAACACACACACACACACACACACACACACACATACACACACACACAGGTTTACAGGTTGGTAGAAGAGCATTCTACCATGAGCTATATCCCCAGCCCTTTATTTATTTATTTATTTAAATTTTGAGACAGTTTCTCACTAAATTACTGAGGCTGGCCTCAAACTTGCCATCCCCCTGCCTCAGCCTCCTGAGTAGTGGGGATTACAGGCATGCCCGGCACACTCTGCAGAGTGGAGCACTTTTCTCCCCAGCTCCCCATTAAATGACAACAGGTTAGAGCCAGAAATGTCAACACTAAATTTCTGCCCCATGTTCAAAAGCAATATTTGTAATACTCATCTTGATTTGGAATCTAAGCAATTAGGTTCCAAACTGAGAGTGGGGTTATGGAATTTTCATCTCCAAAGCTTAAAATGCCATCTCTTATAGGAAGTACTTGAGGGATCAAGGACAGACAACTCTTTCCCAAGCCACATTGCTCAGGTTCTCCTTGCAATATTCATTTTTGAAGGGTTGTGAAAGTATCTTAAGGTTCAAAATCCACCAAAAATACAATTTCACAATACACCAGGGCTGCAGAAAACTAGACCAAATCACATACAATCATTGGTGTGCTAATGACTACTTGTCTGGAGACATAGTATGCAGACATGCATTATGTAAGTTTATTATGAACATTACTGTTAGAAAGTATTATAGCACATGATTTATAAAATTAAATAAAACTTTATACTATTTTTGTAAGTTTCGTGTACATATAACTTGAGCATTATTTCTTATTTTTTTCTTGTTAAAACTTTCATCAGTTTTTTTATAATTCAACCACCAATAATCATTCTACAGAGTCAGCAATGAATAAGTGTTTGTAAATACCTGATCCCTTATATAACTGTCAAATTAGTGTAGATTTGATGAATGTTGGTGATATTTTTGCTATATTAGTGAGACAAAGTGAAACTATGAAGAACTAAGCAGGAACTTTACTCACTCATCAATAAATAAGCAACCTCCTAGCTAAACTAGATAATAGTTTTCAAATGTTGGAAGAATATTTCCTTAATATGTTGTACTATTAAAAAATGAATAGCATTGGACACAAAACACTTTTAGTTTAATCTATTTTTTCAGTCTAAATAAACAACAAAACAATAAATGAAGCCTCAATTTCTGCAAATACTCCCATCATGGCTGATTTCAAGCTTCCAACCTGTTGTTGCTGAATGGGGAGCTGGGGACACAAGCAGGCAGCACACCACTTGGCAGCATTTCTACCACACAGACACATACACAGGCATAAAGAACTTTAGGAGCACAGATAATAGTAAAATGTAATAACATAAGTAGGAGTGAGTTTTGAATATTTTTTATTTTTGTTTTTAGTGTAACTAGCTTAGTTTATTTGTGCCACTATGACAAAATACCTCAGTTCAGGTAATTTATAAAGTACAGACATTTATTTTCTCATAGTTCTAGAGTTGGGAATCTAAGGTCAAGGGTCAGGAAATTTGGTGCCTAATAACGGCCTGTTCCTCATACAGTGACTTTTTGCTGTGTACTCACATGGTGGGAGGGTACATGGGCAAGAAAAGGCTAGCTCCTTTCAATTCGTTTCTTTAAGGGCACTAATCACATCAATGGGGGCAAAGCCTTTTGACCCACTGCCAACAGCCTCACCTCTTAAAGCTACCATGTTGGTATTTATTTAAATTCCATTACAAGAATTTCAGAGGTACACATGCATTCAAACCATAACAGTAACTTACTTAATTTTAATTTTTATTAATAGCTGTTTTTAACAAATGGCTCACAAACTTTCTGAAAATCTAACAATCAGCTCTCAAGAGCTTATAGACGGCTAGTCCAGCACACCGCTGGTTGTGACCACAGGAAGCAGAACAAAGGAAACAGAATGGAAAACCTCCTGTGTGTTCAGGAAACCTCAATCAGCCTTACCAGCAGAAACACGTTCTTTCCATCTCTGTGCCTAAAAGCAGAGTATTTGATTTCTCATTACAAATAAAATCATGGGTTTTCTTGATTTAAATGGGAAAAAAAGATTAAGGCTTAAATTACTGAGAATGGTAGAAAACCACTGTCCTTAGTGTGATTGAAGGCTAATGGCCACAGGACAGGCACGGAACCAAATAATCAGAGTGGCTTCCACCAGATAGCAGGTCCTTAGAGCCATGAAGCCACTCAGCCTGAGATCCATCCTGCCCTCTTGCTCTTCTCTCACTAGACATGGGTAGAAACCAACCACTCAAATGCCAGCCTTGTATCTTCATTGAGGAGCAGAAATCTTAATTTGAATGAAGTTTGAAGCATTGATTAATAAGATCTCAGACTAAAATGCTTTATTTCTGAATTGAGACATAATTTGTGACCCAAAAGAGTTTTGACTATCAGGTGAAACTGAGCAGAGAACAAACAAACAAACAAAATAGGACCTGCTAAGTTTCTACCCATTCCATCCAGGGCAAGGGAAGATCCCTTTCCATGAACTAATTAAAAAGACTTGGAGAAACAAAGATAAACATGGGTTTTCATTACACCACAAATGCTTGTGTGATGTAAGGTTTTGAATGGAAAAGAATCAAGCCAGGAGGGGCCAGTCTGATGATGTTTGTGATTCTAAAAAGATCTGCTTCTATACTGGCTAGTAAAAAGACAGGAGATTTTCAGTCCTCTTGTTCATAACCAAAAAAAAAAAAATCCTGCATCTGATATTTTAAGTTCTTCCGAGATCAGACAAGATCGGGCGCGTTCAGGGTGGTATGGCCGTAGACTATTTTAAGTTCTTAAAGTTAACTCCAAGTATCCCCAAACTTCCTATTTCTTCCTCACTAGTGATGCCATTAGGCATAGTTATGCTGATGACGGAACCACAGAAATGGAAGCCCACCCATTAGGTGTCCCCAGCAACTGCTCCCTGAATCCTCGCTCCCGTCAATATTCTAATATACCCTGTTTATTAGAATTTCCAGGGGTCATGAGACTACCTAGCTGCTCATGATCCCAAATACCTTGTAGAACACAGCCATTCCATATATAAAGGAGTGGGGTGGAAATAAGGCAAATATCTGGATAATTGCATTTCTTGAATACTCTTCCTTGAAATTTCTATTTAAATTTCAAATGTATATGTACTTCTTTCTTTTTAGCTATATATTATCCAAATCGTTTCCACAATTTATGCATAGCAGATTTTGTATGGTTGGAGGAAAAATGGTACATCTAGCATGAGCCAACAACCAGTATTGTATCCTGCCATGAAATTTCCCACTAACTAGGAGATTTTCATCTATGACTAATGACCTATATTTGTTTGTTCTTTGATGCAGAAACCACTTTTGCTGTGTAAACTCTGGAACAGAACCATTCAATGCCAGCTAATGTGTTCATATTAGTATAACAAATCTCTCAGTGTTTTTCTGTCACTATGATTGCCATAGAATTATAAACACTATTATCAATATAAAAATATCAGAATATTTTTTAAATGCCAAATTTGGCAACTGGAGTTAAGTATACATAACATTGTAAACAATGTTGAACATCAATACAATCAATAAAAGAACAGAAGAACTTGAATTTATCTAAAACATGAGAAATAATATATGCTCCTAAAGCTTGTTTTAAGAGATCATATTGAATGAGTTTTTATTTCACATGGCTATTTGATTGAGACCATTGCTTCTTTAAAATGCTTGAATGTGCTAGTAGTTAGAGACATTCTATGTGCCTCACACTGCTCTTAAGGTTAGACATAAATACCTAAGAGTTTTCCAGAGGTGTCATTCATAAGCTTCTTATCTAAATCCCAACACTTTGCTTATGAATTATAAGAAAGAGGCAGTTATCATACTGCAAGGAAGCAGAGACCTTTTCTGTTTGCTTTGTCATTTTGCACTTGTCTTTTGCAAGCTCTGAAAACTGAGTGTTTGTCTTTTGTTTCTAGGGTTACAGTGACTGCAATGTGCAACATGGACTTCAGCCGATTTCCCCTGGACACACAAACGTGCTCGCTTGAAATTGAAAGCTGTAAGTAGACTTGTTCCCGGGCGTCGGCACACAGCTCCTAAAGTAATTCTAAAGAGTAGCAGGAACAGTATGTGCTCCTCATTCATGGCTATGCTTTTAAAGTGATTTTTTAGATTGAAGCTGAGTCCAGAGTAGTTTTACAAAGGAGCACATGAAGAAGCTGGGGGCATGGCTCAGCGGTAGAGCACTTGCCTAGTATGCTCAAGGCTCTGGGTTCAATCCTCAGCACCACATTAAAAAAATAATAATATATATATATATATATATATATGAAAGGTATTGTGTCCAACTATAACTAAAAAATATTTTTTTAAAAAAAGAAGTACATGAAAAGATGCTCAACATGGCTAATGATTAGAGAATGCAAATTAGTACAGTGAGTGACCCATTTGAAGTTATTAGGATGGTCACTATCAAAAAAACAACAACAAAAAAAAGTGTTGGTGAAGATGTGAAGCAATTGGAACCCTTGTGCACTGGGGATAGGAATGTAAAATGGTGCAACTTACTGTGGAGAACAATTCAGCAATTCCTCAAAATATCAAAAATAAAATAACCATAGGTTCCAGCAATTCCACTTCTCAGCATATACCCAAAGAAATGCAAGCAAAGCCTTGAAAAGGTATTATTTACAATAGCTAAAATGTAGAAGCAACCCATGTGTCCAGTGATAGGTGAATGGACAAGGAAAATGTGCTGTATACATGCAATGAAATATTATTCAGCATTACAAAGCAAGGAAATTCTGACACATGCTACAACATGTACCGAACTTGAGGATATCGTACTAAATAAGACAAGTCCATCACAAAGAGACAAATACTGTACAATTATACTTTTATGAGTACTTAGAGTAGTCAAAATAATAAAGATAGAAGGTAGAATAGTGACTGTGAGGATCTTGGGGGAGAGAGAAAACGAAGAGCTATTGCTTAATGGGTGCAGTGTTTCAGTTTAAGATGAGAAACTGTTTGAGTGGTGATGATTCCACAACGTTATAAATATATTTAATGTCACTAACCTGTATACTTAAAAATGGTTAAGAGGATTTTATGTTATTCTTGTTTTACCACAATAAAACAACCACCCAAATCAGGCACCGGGAAGAGCCAGGCTGAGGCAGGATAGCCAAGCTAGCCACCACACGCCTTGCTCTCCACTCTCCCGCTCTGTTCTCTCTGCCGCAGCACTCCTTCTGATGGGCATAGTCTGGATTCCTCCATCACTCCAGTTTGCACACTCCTCCTGAACACTGGCAATCCCTGCAGCATCCAAGTCCGAGTGTGGCCTTGTTTTGATCTTGGGCCCCTTTGTAAGCCAAATCTGGGCTTATGGTGGTGGATCAAGTGGCTCCTGACTGTAATTAACTGAAACCTGGGAGTGTGGGGATGTTGACACCACACATAGCTGGGTCAAATGGACCCTCTGTTAGGCACTGAACGTGGGAAAAGGGCGAGGCCTTAGTAGCCTTTAGTGGCTACTAAGTGCACAGTGTCTTTATCTCTGTGCTGTCATTTAACCCTCACAAAATCCCTACAAGAATGTTATCTCCATCATTCATGGCACAAGGCCTGTGCCTTGGACACAGAGATGAATGGCAAAGCTGGGCTGAAATACCAAGTTTGCTGGCTCCAGAGCTTCCCCTACCCTCACTAGACTAGGCAGCTTCTGCCTCCATCTGTAAATGTAGCTTCTTCAAGGTTGTAGCAGTCAGGGTCCTGCCAGAGAAACAGAACTAATCCATTACATATGGTAAGAGATGCATTGTGAGGAATTGGCTCGCAGGATTATAGGGGCTGCTCTGTTCTCCTAGGTCTGCAGGGAAAGTTGGGAACTCTTAGCAGGAGCAGATGCCACAGTCCAGGTCAAAGTTCTTCTTTCAGAAAACCTCAGTTATACGCTTAAGACCTTTCACATAACTAGATCAGACCCACCCAGATTATCTAGGATAATCTTCTTTACTTAAAATCCACTGGTGGTAGATACTAGCCGCATCCATAAAATACCTTCACAGATTAGTGTCTGATTGAATGACTGTCTACTAGAGTCAAGCTAAGTGAACACAAGAAATCTATGATCACAGATCAAGGGTTAGAAAATGGGACTAAAATGGTGTCGGGAGACCCAGCAAGAACGGTTTACACATAGGGCTGGGCGCAGTGGCACACACCTGTAATCCCAGTAACTCTGGAGGCTAAGGCAGGAGGATCTCAAGTTCAAGGCCAGCCTTAGAAATTTAGTGTGCCCTGTCTCAAAACAAAAAATAAAAAAAGACTGAGGATGAAATAAAGCATCAGCAATAAAGCATCCTTGGATTCAGTCCCCAGTTCCCACCTCCCCCCACCCCCAAAAACAAGGATAAGAAGGAAAGGATCAACACTCCTGGTTTATGAGGCTGAACCATGTGAAAATATGCCAGTATTTAGCCATTTCTGACCACAAAATAGCAATATCTTTTGGTTTAATCTTATAAGGGTAGGCTGGATTGTTGGTGTGAGCCCTTCTGCAGGAATCAGGAGGCCTTAAGCTTGAGTATTTTTCTCTGAAGACTTTTGGAAGACTGGAGAGAATTATATTTGTCTTTTTGCCTTTTTTTGCATTGTTTATACTGCAGTTTGTTTATTCAAATTATCTTAGCACAATCCTAGAGATTTGTATGGGAGATCAGGACACAGTTTCCATGTAGCCTGGTAGGCAGACCTGCCTTGCCATACCTCCTGCCTGATGCTGGCTCCCATCTTTTCAGATGCCTATACAGAAGATGACCTCATGCTCTACTGGAAAAAGGGCAATGACTCCTTAAAGACAGATGAGCGGATCTCACTCTCCCAGTTCCTCATTCAAGAATTCCACACCACCACTAAACTAGCCTTCTACAGCAGCACAGGTGAGCATGGGGTGGGGGCTGAGTGTGGGGAGGCTTTGGTTTGGCTGTGGTGGTTCATTTTTTATTTCAGAAAAGGTGTGACTTGCTTGTCAAGTAAGCAGAGCCTGTTTCACTTGCATTTGAAACTAAAGATGACCGTCCTAAGTGAAGTTTAGTGGGTGTCAGGCATTGGGTGGAGGTGATTTTTTTTTTTAATACCACCAATGCACCAAAAGTGATAACCTAGAAAATACTATTAAGGACTCAAACATGTAAGTAGTTTTATTTGAGACTTTCACATTGCCAGATTAGTAGATGGCATATCACCCCCAATATACTCACCAGAATTCTCCTATACAGCAAGAAAGAAGTGCACTTTGCCCTAATTTCCATTCACATTCTCCCTGCTCCAGTCAGTCCCCATGTGATGCTCCACTCTTGGCCAATCCCCTCTTGCTACATGACTTACATGTTTCTTCTGGATGATCTTCTTCTGAATTGCAGTGCAGGAACCTCTGGTCATTCCCCTATGGGCCTGGTCATTGTTTTTGGAGTTCAGGCAAACAGGTCTGCCTCCTCATTGCTTCCTGAGGGCATGTTCTGTGGGCTTCCTCTGGGCTGCCAACCTGTGTTGCTGGATCAGCTGAGGTCAACTCTCCATCCTTTGCCTGTCTTTTGACCAAAATCACCTTTCAGGATGATTTTGCTCAAATTTTTATGCAGTCTATATTGCTAAAACCTTGCATGATTATTGGCTGTATGGGGAAGTGTGGCCTTTTAAGTGTTCTCTCTAATCTGCAAACAAGAGAACCAGTTAATTCCAGTGTAGCGTTTGTCTCTCTCTCTCTCTCTCTCTCTCTCTCTCTCTCTCTCTCTCTCTCTCTCTCTCTCTCTCTCT